CATCATACATCAATTTTTTTTCCAGAGAGGTTTTAAAAAAAGGAAATAAAATTGAGCAAGAAGGAAATATCATTGTACATTTATCAGATTTCAGGTGGAGAAGGTCAAAATCTCTGAACCCAAATATAAAGTTACTCTTTATAAAACAGGATATCAAATCCTTGAAGTAGGACAAGAAACAGGTACATTTGAACTTTGTGAGCAAGAATGAATTTTGTATAATCTTTTGGGGGAATTAATATTTTAATATCTTTAATGTTAATATGCCTTGGCCTAATAATTCCATTAGTAATTTATCTTAAAGTAGTAATCAGAGATGTACACAAAATGTTATGTGTAAGATCTTTGTTTGTATATAACTTAAAATACAGAGTTATATACAATAACAAATACTGGAAAAACAATCTAACTGTCCAATACTAAGAAATTGGCTAAACAAATTATGGCATTTAGGTTATACTATTTTGTGCCTTAAAAATTCATGTTGTAAGGTCATACGTGGTGACTCACACCTATAATCCCAATATTTGGGAGGCCAAAGTGGGCAGATCACTTGAGCCCAGAAGTTTGAGACCAGCCTGGGAAACATGGTGAAAATTACAAAAATTAGCCGGGGGTGGTGGCACACACCTGTAGTCCCAGATACTCAGGAGGCTGAGGTGGGAGGATCACTTGAGCCTGGAAGGTTGAGGCTGCAGTGAGATGTGATTTTGTCACAGCACTCCAGCCTGGGCATAGGGGATTCTATCTAAAATAATTAATTAATTAATTAAAAGTCATATTGTAGAACAATTTGCAAAAACAGTATTGCAAACATGTTCATGACATTGATATAATTAAAATACAGATTACAAATTTGTTTTTCTGTGTGATCACAATTTTGTTTTTAAAGTGTTTATAGTATTTTTAGTCTGATAAGCTACATGACATAATATTAATAGTAATTGTTTCTAGTTGGTGGGGTTATGGATTATTTTTAAATGTTCTTCTAAATGATTTTATGAATTTTTTACATTTTCTGTCATAAAAATGTGTGTGTGTTTTTTTTTTCTTAAGTAGATCATATCCAATCTCATACAAGTGTTAATTAACTAAAAAATTTCTTAGACTTCAGGCTACAATTGCAAATGCTAATTAATAAACTTAGTTCACCTCTTTGGGGTTATGGCCATGGTTGAGAAAACTCCTTTGGGATTCTTTGATATATTCAGACTCCTCTAACATGTCTGTAGCCTCCTGCCTCCCACCCTTCATTCCTGATTTTCAGACCTACAGCACTTTGCAAAAGGCATTCTTCACCAAAGTGTGTCTTCTTGCCATCCAACACATCGATGATTCACTGCCTTCATGGAGAATTATTGCACTCACACAGCAAACAGAGCAAGTTCTCTTAGATTTTTCAGCAGCGCCCGAACAGCACCTGCACTTAGCAGTTTATGTGCAGTAACTCCTGGAATCCTAAAAACACTCATGCAAGGTAAGTTTTCTTTATTTTACAGATGAGGAACCTGAGGGTTAGCAAAGCAAGAACTGTAATCTCAGAGTAACCAGGATGTTGAGCTTTGCAACCATAACTGTCTGACTTCAACATCTGTGTTCCTTCCTTTTCATCACGTGGCATCCAGGGGACCATTTATGTGGTACCATGGCAGCTGGTCAAATGATTGTTGCTCCAGAATCTATCAATTTAGTGAATAGGCTGGGGAATTAGACCAATAAACTGACAAAATGAGTGACATGTAGACAAAGCAAGTGACTGAATAACAAAGGTTTTCCCTATCGACAGTGTTGTCCAATGTGCTTCCTATGTTAATGCATGGCCTTACCATGCATTCGGTTGTGCAAACCAGGGATCTAGGAGACGATCTCATCACCTACCATCCCTCAGCCTGCATGTCCGGTCTATCACCCACCAATTTTACCTGCTAGATATCTCTCACATCATCCACATCACCATAGAAGTTCAAATTGCCATCATCTCGGCTGGGCATGATGGCTCACGCCTGTAATCCCAGCACTTTGGGAAGCTGAGATGGGTGAATCACTTGAGGTCAGGAGTTCGAGAACAGCCTGGCCAACATGGTGAAATGCTGTCTCTACTAAAACTACAAAAATTAGCTGGACATTATGCTTGTGTGTTGTCTCCTCAGGGTTTTCATCTTTCTGGCCAATGCACTCAGAAATACGGTTCTGAGAATGAAGTAATGTGAAGTCATAGTCACATATTCATGCTAGAGTATATAAAAGAGCAAATGACTGATGTGCATGAACAGGCAGCCCCTCTAAAGGAGATGGCTGAGGGAAGTCTCAGATGGGCGCACAGCTGTCTGAGCAGGGCTGCCTTGTTGGAAGGATGAGAGGGAAGAACACTTACTTCAAGCCCACAAGGAGGAAAAGGTGAGGTTTTTCTCTGAGTTGCACAGTTACCCAGCAAAATCAGTGTTTCCACCCCACTGGGTCTTAGGTCCCGGGATGGCCCAGGAGGTAAGCCTATGGGGTCTTGAACCCAGATGCCCACCAAACATTGCTTCTGGTTGAATAAATGCTCTGTCTCACAGATATGCTCTCCTGCTACATTTTTATTTTTTAAAGACAGTCTCTCACTCTGTTGCTCAGGCTGGAGTCCAGTGGCACAATCACAGCTGATGGCAACTGATATGGTTTGGCTGTGTCCCCACCCAAATCTCATCTGAATTGTAACTCCCGTAATTTCCATGTGTCATGGGAGGAATCCGGTGGGAGGTAATTGAATCATGGGGGCAGACCTTTCCTGTGCTGTTCTCACGGTAGAGAATTAAGTCTCACCAGATCTGATGGCTTTAAAAATGGGAGTTTCTTTAAAAATGGGAGTTTGTATTCAATACTAGGTACAAAGTGCTGCTACTTCACTACACTTACTGTCTTTGTTAGTCTAAGTCCTCTAGAGGCAGACACCAAGATGGAATTAAACATGCAAGATTTTATTAGGGAAAATGCTCATGTAACAGAAAGTGAGGAGGGATCTGGAAAAGGCGGAGAAAGCCATTGACTCAATGCAAATCCAATCTTCCAGTGAAGGAGAGAGGGTGGGCAGAAGCATTCTAGACCCCTGTCCAGTCTAAGGGCAGTTTGGCAAGGTCCCTGGAGGGCCTTTGAGCCCAATTTGCTGCCAGAGGAGCCCTGCATTTTCCAGGAAAGGATCTGCCTTAGCACATCAATTTCAGGGAGGAGCTGCTGGGGCCCTTAATCAATGATATTCTCTGAGGTTGGAGGTTTGTGAGGAGCTTTCTCATGGTCACCACGGTCCACTCCTTTGCTACACAGACGTACTTCTCCATGTAGATTTTGGGAGCAACTCTTCCATGATTCCCTTTGACTGAGGGGACAGTCCTTACCAATGACGAATGAGGATTGCAGTATATACACCTGGCAGCCTCACCCCTCTGGTAGGATACCGCCATCCACCCAGCAGTTATCAGTTGCCAGTAAGCCTGTACTCCAGCTGCCCACAATGGTCTCCTTCTCATGAATGCACCCTGTATTGGACTTATGCTCTTTCCTGGCTCACTGTCCCATTCCCCTCCCTGACTCCCTGGGATCACTTCCTGAATCAATCACTTGTACTCATTCTGTCTTGGGATGTGCTTCTGGGGGAACCCAGGCTAATATAATAAGGAAACCTCTAATAATATGGTTTGGAAATAGTTGCTCTTCTCTAAGGATATACTTAGGCTTTAATTTCACAATTCACTGAGGATCGTTCTTAATACCAAGTATCACACAGAATACTCAATAGGCCATTTGAGAGGCTCCTTAAATTATACAAGTTCTTTTGTATTCACCGTCCTCAGTTATTTGGGGGAAACTCTTCAAACTGTGTTTTTCCTCTGCTCTCACACCACCACCACCAACAACAACACAGAAGAAAGCTTCTGTGACCAAAGGCATGGGGGTTTTCCCCACACACCAAGTGGCAGACATTGATGCTGGAAGTAGCATCAGATCTCACAGAGTGAGAGCTCAGTCCCCAAAACTGCCCCTACTCTGCCACCTCCAGACACCAGTCGCAAGTCCAGGCCTCCAGAACTTCTGACTGGACTGACTTCAAGTTGAGGTTCTCACGATTCCCTCTTTGGGTTTGATTAATTTGCTGGAGTGGCTCACAGAACCCAGGGAAACATGTTTACTGCTTTATTATAAAGAATATTACAAAGGATACAGATGAAGAGATGCATAGGGTAAGGTATGGGGAAAGGGCCACAGAGCTGTTATCCTGTACTAGAGCCCCCCACCCTCCAGGAACCTCCCTGAGTTCAGCTATCCTGAAGCTTTCCAATTCCTCCTGGCTCTTTATGGAGACTTCATTACATAGGCATGATTGACAACCATGTAGAAATGTGATTGGACAAAAAGCACATTATCTAAATCCAGCAAGGCCTGTGTGTTCAGGCTTTGCTTGGCCTCTCTGTGCAGCCTTCCTTCCTCTAGGGTATGGGGCAGGAGCCCTCCGGAATGAGGGGTTTCTGACCTACAGTCACTTTCGAGTCCTGCCTTAGGCAGATGAAAGGAGGACGGGGAAGGTCGGAGAGAGAGATGCTGTTCCCTGAGACCGGCTGCTGAGGCCTACAGCACCCCAACATTATAACCAAAGACTATGGGGGGTTATGATCCAGAAACCATGGATGAAAGCATATATATATATATATATATCATGGCTATGTAGAAAATTGTTACAGGCTGGGCACAGTGGCTCACGCCTGTAATCCCAGCATTTTAGGAGGCCGAGGTAGGCGGATCACTTGAAGTTGGGAGTTTGAGACCAACGTGGCCAACATGGTGAAACCTAGTCTCTACTAAAAATACAAATCAGCTGGGTATGGTGGCGTGCACCTGCAATCCCAGCTACTCAGGAGTCTGAGGCAGGAGAATTTCCTGAACCCCGGAGACCAAGGTTGCAGTGAACTGAGATCACACCACTGTACTCCAGCCTGGGCAACAGAGTAAGACTCCATCTCAAAAAAAAAAAAAAAAAAAAAAATTGTTACATTTAAATCATGTGATCTCAGTCTTTGAAAAGCAGGCAATACTTTGTGCAGTAATTCAGTCCTTATACAGTTTTTTTTTAAACTGCCAAGAAATTTTATGTTAAATAGCATAGATTCAACGTCAGCTTTGGATTTGTATAGATGAAGGGGAAGGGTTGTTTATGATCCACATGCGTCTGAGTTTTAATGATACTGATAATTCATAAATACCCTGGTAATTTTCAAGTATATAACCAGATTGACATGAATTAAAGTTACAGATCACATGGTGTTAACAAGTCCTGGGATGACTGATTCCTTGAAGAGGATGGACCATGGGAATGTCCGGCTTTCAGGAAAGAAGTAAGACTGCCTGGATGTCTGTGATCACAGTGAAAAGGTGAGACTGGGAAAGTAGAGGTTTCTCTTTCATTGCATTGACAATGCAAGAGGCACTTTTGAACTTTTAGACTTGTAATGAAACCCTCATTTTGATATCACATTAGTACCTGCTAGGACTGATCACTAGATATGCTATTTCTGCCTTTTGAGTACACAGTAAAATTGTAATTCTTGGCCCTGTCCCACTTCTTGGGTTGGGGTCATGGGACCAGTTCAAGATCAAGCTGTTAATGACTGATTTGAGACAGTCCAGAGCTCTTTTTGCCCACTGTCATCCTTCCAGATAGTGGGTGCTTGATCATCCTGGCTTTCAAGATAACCCATGACAGACATACAGCCCTGCAATGGATGTGTAGCACAAGCAAGAAACAAACCTTTATCACTTTAAGCCACTAAAATTTGGGATTTGTTATTCCAAAATTGCATTGACTATCTTGATTGAGATACTCTTTGGGGAGGCTACTGAGGAGACTGCTGTCCAGTAAGTCCCCTACCCCCTCTAGGAATTCTCTATAAGGCACGATGCTTACTTTCCACATCGTTTTCTGAGAGTACTTATGGAGAGAGTCTTCCTCACTCTTACTGTTTTTAAGATGGTCAATTCAAAATTAGGATTTGGTAAAGCAAGCTTCAAACCACATCCAGTTTTAATGACCAAGTTCCATGAAACATTTAAGATTGTTCTAGAAAATTCAACCTCATTTAGTCCGGAATGACATTTACTAACATGGCTGCTGCACTAGTTACAAAAAAAAAAGAAAAAATTAAATCATGAAACATTGCTGAACAGTTATTAAATAGTACCTAGTCCCTAATGGCAAATTCATTTTCATTTAATAACAAGTTATTGTGGCATGTAATGAAAAATAGAGTGGCATGCAAAATAAGCTGGCCTCTGTTTTCATTGACATTGTGCCAGTTTCTTGGGCGCAGAATTACAATACTATCCATCTTCATAAAGCACTCTTTAGAAGGCATTATTAAACAGCAGGAAGGAATGGCAGATGACAGCTTCATTAGTCATGACTAGGTAATCCTGGCCAATTTCTCCTGGGAATTATTAACACATTCCTAAACACCCTTTGGTTGATGGCATCCAGAAGAGAAGAGGAGGAGATTAGTTGTAAAGTCTTGGACATTATCCAAATCTGGCTACAACTTTCTTTAAGTCACAGAGCAGTCACTCTTCCCCAAGGCTCTCTGTCATGCTTCTGGGGAATGGGGCCTTCTGAGCAACTATGGACCAAGGCCTCAAAATTCTTGCCCATTGCTGAATACCCAATGAAAAGAAAAAAATCTACACCGCATCTGCCTGGTACAAATTTAGGCTATTCTATTTGATAAATGGATTAGTCCCAAACTCATTCTTGTCTGGTTAGTGAATAGGAGCTCCAGGAGAGTGTCTTTGGGAGCCCAGTAAGTGTGTAATAAACACACTGGAATCTGACATATTCCTGTGAATCCCTGTAGCCAGGTGTCCTAAGTTAGGTAAGGATTTACGAAATCCCCCAGAGCTTGGGCACAGCCTGTGAGATTTAAAAAGATAGTTGCTGTCAACCAAGATTTTCCTAGAGTTTTTGTAACCTTCTCTCTTTTTTTTTTCTTTCTTTTTTTTGAGATGGAGTCTCTCTCTGTTGTCCAGGCTGGAGTGCAGTGGTGCGATCTCAGCTGACTGTAAGGGAGGAGACCACCCCTCATATTGTCTTATGCCCAATTTCTGCCTCCAAAGAAAGAAAAAGTAAAAACTAAAAGGCAGAAATGAAATCCACAGGCAGACAGCCCGGCACCGCACCCTGGGCCTGGTAGTTAAAGATCGACCGCTGACCTAACCGGTTATGTTATCTATAGATTACAGACATTGTATAGAAAAGCACTGTGAAAATCCCTATCCTGTTTTGTTCTGATCTAACTACCGGTGCATGCAGCCCCCAGTCACGTACCCGCTGCTTGCTCAATCGATCACTCTCTCACACGCACCCCCTTAGAGTTGTGAGCCCTTAAAAGGGACAGGAATTGCTCACTCGGGGAGCTCGGCTCTTGAGACAGGAGTCTTGCCGATGCCCCTGGCCGAATAAACCCCTTCCTTCTTTAACTCGGTGTCTGAGGAGTTTCATCTGCAGCTCATACTGCTACAACTGCAACCTCTGCCTCCTGGGTTCTAGTGATTTTCCTGCCTCAGCCTCCTGTGTAGCTGGGATTATGGGAACATGCCACCACGCCTGGCTAACTTTTGTGTTTTTAGGAGAGATGGGGTTTCACCATGTTGGCCAGGGTGGTCTCAAACTCCTGACCTCAGGTGATCCACGCACCTTGGTCTCCCAAACTGCTGGGATTATAGACATGAGCCACCGTGCCCAACCTCTGTGACTTTCTTTAATGACACTACCTTTCTGTTTCTTAGTAAGTCAGCTGGATGGGGTATTGAAGATGGCTGGCAGAGAAATGGTTTACTCTGCACATCAACAGTTTTAATTGTGGGTTAAAAACAGTGAGTAACTGTTTTTGAAACGCTTTGGGTGCTTCATGGTGTAGCAAAAGGGCTTAAGAATTAGAATGAGACTCGAGCTCAAATCATTGCCCTGCAACTTACTGGCTGTGGAGCTGTGGGCAAATTAATTAAGGCCTCCCAGACTTAGTTTCCTCATCTGCAAATTAGGGATAATGATATCTATCTCATTGAATTTTTGGAGGATTAATTAATATAATCAAGTAAAGCACTTGGCAGAGTGCTTCAATAAATATTTCTTCTTTTGTATGTTCTGTGTAAGCTATGTCCTGCTTAAAAAACAAAAGCAAAAATAATCAGATTTATAGAAGAGACATTAGTATGAGTTGTCCATATTATCCTGCCCACCTCCCCCAACTAAACTGTAAGTTCCTGTTTTTATTTACTTTAAAAAGAAAAGCAGTGATGGCTAAATAATAATGAGCAACACTTATGTACCGCCAGATGCTGGTTTAATTCTCACATCAACTATATTATTATCCCCATATTCCAGTTGAGAAAACTGAGACACAGAGAAGTAAGTTGCCCAAGGTTACAGAAATAGTCAATTTTGGAACTGAGATTGAAAACCAGTCTGCCTCCAGAGTTGGTGTTCTTTCATGTTTAACTTTTATTTTAGGTTCAGAGGTACATGTGTAGGTTTGTTACATACGTAAACTTGTGTTACGGGGTTTGGTGCCAGATGATTTTGTCACTCAGGTACTAAAACTAGTACCCAATATTTTTTCTGCTTTTCTACCTTCTCCCACCCTCCACCCTCCAGTAGGCCCCAGTGTGCATTGTTCCCCTCTATGTGTCCATGTGTTCCCATCATTTAGCTCCCGCTTATAAGTGAGAACATGCAGCATTTGGTTTGCTGTTTGTGCGTTAGTTTGCTAAGGATAATGGCCTCCAGCTCCATCCATGTTGCTGCTTAGGACGTGATCTCATTGTTTATTGTGGCTGCATAGTATTCCATGGTGTATATGTACCACATTTTCTTTATTCAGTCTACTGTTGATGGGCATGTCTTTATTATTATGAATAGTGCTGCAATGACCATATGGGTGCATGTGTCTTTATGGTAGAAAGATTTGTATCCCATGGCTATATATTCAGTAATTGGATTGCTAGATCAGATGGCAGTTCTGTTTTTAGGTTTTTGAGGAATCACCACACCGTCTTCCACAATGGTTTAACTAATTTACACTGCCACTAACAGTGTATAAGCATTCCCTTTTCCCTACAACCTTGCCAGCATTTTTTGACTTTAATAATAGCCACTCTGACTGGTCTGAGATGGTATCTCACTGTGATTTTGATTTGCAGTTCTCTAATGAGCAGTGATACTGAGCTTTTTTTCATATGCTTTTTGGCTGCATGTATGTCTTTTTTTTTTTTTTTTTTTTCGAGACAGAGTTTGCTCTGTTACCCAGGCTGTGATCTTGGCCCACTGCAACCTCCACCTGCCAGGTTCAAGCAATTATTATGCCTCAGCATAATAGCTGAGATTACAGATGTGTGCCACCACACCCTGCTACTTTTTGTATTTTTAGTAGAGATGGGGTTTTGCCATCTTGGCCAACCTGGTCTTGAACTCCTGGGCTCAAGTGCTGTGCCCTGCTTGGCCTCCCAAAGTGCTGGGATTACAGGTTTGAGCCACCACGCCCAGCTATGTCTTTTTTTGAAAAGTGTTTGTTCATGTCCTTTGCCCACTTTTTAATTTTTTTTTTCCCGCATACATTTGTTTAAGTTCCTTATAGTTGCTGGATATTAGACCTTTGTCAGATGCATAGTTTGCAAAAATTTTCTTCTGTTTTGTATATTGCCCGTTTACTCTGTTGGTAGATTCTTTTGCTGTGTAGAAGCTCTTAACTTTAGTTAGATCCCTATTGTCAACTTTCGCTTTTGTTGCGATTGCTTTTGGTATCTTTGTCATGAAATCTTTGCCAGTCTCTATGTCCAGAATGGTATTGCCTAGGTTGTCTGGTTCCAGAGTTTTTATAGTTTTGGGTTTTACATTTAAGTCTTTAATCCATCTTGAGTTGATTTTTTTGTATCTGGTATAAGGAAGGGGTCTAGTTTCAATCTTCTGCATATGGCTAGCCAGTAATTCCAGCACCATTTATTCAATAAAGAGTCCTTTACCATTGCTTTCTGTCAGCTTTGCTGAAGATCAGATGGTTGTGTTGTAGATGTGGCCTTATTTCTGTGCTCTCTATTCTGTTCCATTGGTCTCTGGGTCTGGTTTTTTACCAGTACCATACCGTTTTGGTTACTGTAGCTCTGTAGTATAGTTTGAAGTCCGGTAACTTGATGCCGTCAGGTTTGTTCTTTTTGCTTAGAATTGCCTTGGCTATTTGGGCTCTTTTTTGGTTCCATATGAATTTTTAAATAGTTTTTTTCTTTTTTAAATTATATTTTAAGTTCTGGGATACATGTGCAGAACGTGTAGGTTTGTTACATAGGTATACACGTGCCATGGTGGTTTGCTGCACCCATCAACCTGTCAT